TCCCATATTGTCAGTGATTTTGAGCATTTCTTCGTATGTCTGTTGGCCTCCAAATGTCCTCCTTTGTGATATGTCTTTCCATGTCTTATGGCCATTTTGTAATTGGATTATCAATCTTTTTCTTCCAGAGGCCCTGTAGGATTGTGTAAACTTTCTTTATGAGACTCTTGTCTGACATGGTATTGCCAAATGTATTTTCCCAGTCAGTAGGTTTTCTTTCCACCCTGTTGGAAAAAGTTTTTGATGAACACAAAAATTTAATCTTTAGAAGGTCCCGTTTATCAATTTTATCCTCTTTACAGTGTGTATTTCTGGCTGTAATTGGTGTTGATTTATAGTGTAGACTAGGCCTTCTAAGCTTGGTCACAGTTTGTCTCTTAAGAGCTTCATAGTTTGGGGCTTTATCCTGAGGTCTCTAAACCACCGTGGGTTGATTTTTGTGTTCAGTGTTTCAGCTTCCTGTAGGTAGCAGTCCAGTTTAGTCAGCACCATTTGTTGAAGAAGTTATCATTTCTGCATTTGATAGTTTTTATTTCATTGTTGAAAATCATAAAAAAATAAAAAAAGGAAAAAAAAAGAAAGTCAGTTGACTGTAGATAGATGGGTCCATTTCTGGGTTCTCAATTCTGTTCCATTGGTCTATGTGCCTGACATTGTACCAATGTTTCTCATGAATATAGGTGCAAAAATCCTTAGCAAAATCCTAGCAAATAGAATTCAAAAGCCTATAGAAAATCCCCAATTCATCATGATCAAGTGGGATTCATTAGAGGTATGCAAGGATGGTTCAACATAAGAAAATCAATCAGTTTAACTCACCATATTAACAAAACAAATAACAAGAATTATGTGATCCTAGCAATTGATGCAGAAAATGCATTTGATAAAATCCAATACCTATTCCTGAGTAAGACATGCAGCAAAATTAGAATAGAATATAATTTCCTTAACATAGTTAAAAGTAGACATGCAAATATATATGTGTTTTTGTTTGGTGCTGTCAAGTCGTAGATGACTCATAGTGACCCTATGAATGAAAGGCCTGAGCACTGTTCATAGAGTTACCAGAGGCAAGCCA